CCCATCTTTTTCCCAAAAATTCCCATTTTTTCCCAAAAATTCCACATCTGCTCTGCTCCCCACACTCCCTCACCCCTTTAATTCCCTTTTTTTCCCCAAATTTCCCATTTTTTCCCCCAAAATTCCGTACCGGTGGTGCCGCCCTCCAGGCCGGGCCCGTAGGCCGAGACCAGGCCCGGATCCCCGGCCTGGCCTGGCTCCCCCACCCGGACCTTGAAGGGGCTCCCGGGGATGTGGGAGCCCTCGAACTTCACGTCGATGGAGTAGACGCCGTTCTCCCGCGGGATGAAGCGCACGGCGTATTTGTCTGGGAAAAGGGAGCCCAAAATTGTCACTGAGACACCAAAATTGTCCCTGAGACCCCAAAATCATCGCTGAAATTCCAGAAATCCCAAATTCCTGTGGGATGAAGCTCATGGCGTATTTGTCTGGGGAAAAGGGAGCCCAAAATCATCTCTGAGACTCCAAAATAATTCCTGAAACCCCAAAATTAACGCTGAAATTCCAGAGATCCCAAATTTCTCTGGGTGTATTCACCTGGGGAAAACAGGACCCCAAAACTGTCCCTGAAACCCCAAAATTATCCCTGAAATTCCAGAAATCCCAAATTTTCATGGGATGAAGTGCACGGATTATTTGTCTGGGAAAAGGGAGCCCAAAATTGTGACTGAGATACCAAAATTGTCCCTGAAATTCCAGAAATCCCAAATTCCCATGGGATGAAGCACACAGCATATTTGTCTGGGAAAAGGGATTCCAAAATTGTCACTGAGACCCCAAAATCATCCCTGAAATTCCAGAAATCCCAAATTCCTGTGGGTGCATTTGTCTGGGAAAATGGATTCCAAAATTGTCCCTGAGAGCCCAAAATCATCCCTGAAATTCCAGAAATCCCAAATTTTCATGGGATGAAGCACACGGCATATTTGTTTGGGAAAAGGGGGCCAAAAATTGTCACTGAGACACCAAAATTGTCCCTGAAATTCCAGAAATCCCAAATTCCTGTGGGTGCATTTGTCTGGGAAAATGGATTCCAAAATTGTCCCTTAGACCCCAAAATCATCCCTGAAATTCCAGAAATCCCAAATTCCTGTGGGTGCATTTGTCTGGGAAAATGGATTCCAAAATTGTCCCTTAGACCCCAAAATCATCCCTGAAATTCCAGAAATCCCAAATTCCTGTGGGTGCATTTGTCTGGGAAAATGGATTCCAAAATTGTCCCTTAGACCCCAAAATCATCCCTGAAATTCCAGAAATCCCAAATTTTCATGGGATGAAGCGCACGGTGTATTTGTCTGGGGAAAGGGATTCCAAAATTATCCCTGAGATCCCAAACTTAACGCGGAAATTCCAGAAATCCCAAATTCCTGTGGGCGTATTTGTCTGGGAAAACGGAGTCCAAAATCATCCCTGAGACCCCAAAACCATCCCTGAGCCCCCATTTTTATGGGAACAGAGCGGATTTTTGGGGTGGAATTTGCTGATTTTGGGCTAGAATTTGCGGATTTTTGTAGGAACGCCCCGTTTTTTGGGGGATTTTTGGGGTGAACCCCAGATTTTGGGGTGTCCCTCACCTGGGGTGACCTCGGAGATGTGGCACCATCCCTGGGTGTGGAAACTGGGCAGATTCTGGGGTGAGATTTGCCGATTTCGGGCTAGAATTTGCTGATTTTGGGCTGGAATTTGCGGATTTTTGTAGGAACGCCCCATTTTTTGGGGGATTTTTGGGGTGACCCCCAGATTTTGGGGTGTCCCTCACCTGGGGTGACCTCGGAGATGTGGCACCACCCAGGGGGTGGGAACTGGGCAGATTCTGGGGTGAGATTTGCCGATTTTGGGGTGGAATTTCCCAATTTTGGGCTAGAATTTGCAGATTTTCGTAGGAACGCCCCGTTTTTTGGGGGATTTTTGGGGTGAAGCCCAGGTTTTGGGGTGTCCCTCACCCCTGATGACCCCAGGGCTGTGACACCATCCCTGGGTGTGGAAACTGGGCAGATTCTGGGGTGAGATTTGCAGATTTTGGGGCAGAATTTGCCAATTTTGGGGCAGAATTTGCCGATTTTGGTGCAGGATTTGTGGATTTTCGTAGAAACACCCTGTTTTTTGGGGGATTTTTGGGGTGTCCCTCACCTGGGGTGACCTCGGAGATGTGGCACCACCCATGGGGTGGGAACTGGGCAGATTCTGGGGTGAGATTTGCCGATTTTGGGGTGGAATTTCCCGATTTTGGTGCAGGATTTGTGGATTTTCGTAGGAACGCCCCGTTTTTTGGGGGATTTTTGGGGTGAAGCCCAGGTTTTGGGGTGTCCCTCACCTGGGGTGACCTCGGAGATGTGGCACTCCTCCAGGGCCCCCGAGGGGCTGTGCACTTTGGCGTCCAGGGCCCCCCGAGCCCCGTTGAGGCTGACGGCGAACGAGGCGGGCTGGTGAACCTTCAGCCCCGACTCCTGGGGGGACACGGGTCAGACACCCCAAAAACCCCAAAAAAAACCCCAAAAACGGGGCTGGGATCCCCCAAAAACCCCCCCACCCCAAGCGGGGGAAGCCAAAATGGGGTTGGGGTTTGGGGAATTGGGGAAATGGTGAAGGAAATGGAGGAAAAAGGCAAAGAAAGAGGAAAAAAAGGAGGAAAAAAGCAAAAAAAAATCAACTAAAAAATAAAAAGGATCTGAAAGAAAGAGGAAAAAAAAGGAGAAAAAAAGCAAAAAAAATCAACTAAAAAATAAAAAGGACCTGAAAGAAAGAGGAAAAAAAAATTGAGAAAAAAAGCAAAAAAAATCAACTAAAAAATAAAAAGGATCTGAAATAAAGAGGAAAAAAAAGGAGAAAAAAAACAAAAAAAATCAACTAAAAAATAGAAAGAATCGGAAATAAAGAGGAAAAAAAGGAGAAAAAAGGCAAAAAAATCAACTAAAAAATAAAAAGAATCTGAAATAAAGAGGAAAAAAAGGAGAAAAAAGCAAAAAAAATCAACTAAAAAATAAAAAGAATCGGAAATAAAGAGGAAAAAAGAATGAAAATGCAAAGAGAATCCCAAAGGAAATGCCCAAATTGCAAAAGGAGCACAAAGGGAAAAAGCAAGAAAAAAATCCCAAAGAAATTCCCCAAAGAAAGGGAAAAAAGCAACAAAAACCAAAAAACAACCCTAAAGAAGTCCCCAAAATCCAAAAGAACCCCAAAGAAAGGGGGAAAAATAAAAAAAAATTCAAAGAAAAGACAAAGACAGAGATAAAAACTACAATAACCCAAAGAACCCCCCCAAAAAAACCCACCCCAAAACCCCCCAAAAACCACAAAATAAACCTCAAAAAACCCCAAAGAAACAAAACCAAAAAAAACTCTCCCAAAAACGCCACAAAAACCCCAAAATAAACCCCCATAAAAACCAAAACTAACCCAAAACCTCCCAAAATAAAGGAATAAAAACCCCTGAAAAAACCTCCCCAAAAATGCCCCCAAAAATCCAAAAGAAATCCCACAAAAATAAAAAGAACTTTAAAAAAACCAAAAACCCTAAAAAAAACACAAAGAAACCCCAAAAAACAAGAAAAACCCAAAATAACCCCTCACAAAAAAACCCCAAAAATATTCCCACCCCCTCCCCAAAAAAGCTCGCAAAAAGCCAAAAAAAACTCCCCAAAAAAACCAAAAATCCCAAAAAAGCCCCAAAAATCCCCCAAAAAAGCTCAAAAAATCACCAAAAAAGCAAAAAAATCCCCCCAAAATGCCAAAATCAGGTAAAAAAATTCCCAAAAAAGCCCCAAAAAAATCCCCAAAAACCCAAACCCACAGACTTGACCCCAAATCTGGGAGATTTTGGGGTCCCCAAGAAACCAAACCCCAAAATTTTGGGGTGGGGGTGGGATATGTTTGGGTTTGTTCAGGTGGAACCCCCAAATTTTCACCCCAAAAATGCCCAAAACGGTAAAAAAAAACCCCAAAAATTCAATTTGGGGAGGGGAGAGCCCAAAATCCTCCCCCCAAAAATCCCAGGTGGGGCAGAACCAGGCCAAATCTTCATCCCAAAAATTTTGGGGGGGTTGGAAAATCCCAAAACCTCCCCCCAAAAATTCTGGGAGGATTGGAAAATCCCAAAATCTCATCCCAAAAATTCTGGGAGGATTGGAAAATCCCAAAACCTGCCCCCAAAAATTCTGGGAGAATTGGAAAATCCCAAAACCTCATCCCAAAAATTCTGGGAGAATTGGAAAATCCCAAAATCTCATCCCAAAAATTTTGGGAGGATTGGAAAATCCCAAAACCTGCCCCCAAAAATTTTTGGGGGGATGGAAAATCCCAAAACCTCATCCCAAAACTTTTGGGAGAATTGGAAAATTCCAAAACCTCCCCCCAAAAATTCTGGGAGAATTGGAAAATCCCAAAACCTCCTGCCAAAAATTTTTGGGGGGCTGGAAAATCTCAAAACCTCATCCCAAAAATTCTGGGAGAATTGGAAAATCCCAAATTCCCACCCCAAAAATTTTGGGTGGGAGAAACCCCCCAAAAACCTCACCCCAAAAAAAAATTCTGGGAGGGGTTGGAAAATCCCAAAACCTCATCCCAAAAATTTTGGGAGAATTGGAAAATCCCAAAACCTCATCCCAAGAATTTTTGGGGGAGCTGGAAAATCCCAAAACCTCATCCCAAAAATTTTGGGAGAATTGGAAAATCCCAAAACCTCCCCCCAAAAATTTTTGGGGGAGCTGGAAAATCCCAAAACCTCATCCCAAAAATTCTGGGAAAATTGGAAAATCCCAAAATCTCATCCCAAAAATTCTGGGAAAATTGGAAAATCCCAAATTCCCACCCCAAATATTTTTGGGTAGGAGAACTCCCCCCAAAAACCTCACCCCAAAAATTTTTTGGGGGGGTTAGAAAATCCCAAAACCTCATCCCAAAACTTTTGGGAGAATTGGAAAATCCCAAAACCTCC